ACAACTGCAGGAACTCTCTGCAGAGCTGATCCAGCAAACATGCACAGCGGACCGCAAACGCCCACCGCTTCCAGAAGGCTGCCTAACTCAGTGCATACCGCTGCTTGCCGTCAAACCTGGGAGATCTTGATCGACCTAAATGTTCTTAGAGCATAGGATCTGCCGTTTCTGAAATGACGGAAATGACATGACGGAAGTTGACGTGTATATGCATATATATATATATATATATATGTGTATATTATATATACAGAAACTTGCAGCTCGCATATCCCAATTGGCTTCAGCTCCTGGCTCGACAGCAAGCCAAGGTCTGTGACGAGGCACTGCAGCTGCGCCTTGGCTTCGGGCATGGACACGTCAGATGTGGAGCGCACACCGAGCGCGCGGAAAATTAAAATCAGCGCAACAGCAACGCAACAGCAACGCAAAAGCGGGAAGGTAATTCCATCGATACATTCCTTTCGGGAGTTTGGATGTTCTTCTCTTGAAGCCAAATAACGCATGCCTTGTGACGTAAAGCACTTTGCGATTGTGCCTCTGAGCAATAGGACTCCTGCCTCCTTCAGTGGCGCGATTGTAGCTTGCAGCACCGTGCGCGGGATGCCTTGAGGCACAAATTGCAAAATGCCACCTAGAGAGAAAGCACCTAACTCTGCTCACAAAGAAGAAGGAAGCACGACATCTTGCTTGGCCCAGGCAACGCAACAGGAACGCCTTTGTCCAGCTAACCAGCCTGTGGCACTTGCCGCATGGATGGAGGCTGCGAGAACGGTCAGCCTGAGAAGTTTGATGTCAAAGTGCTAGATTCATAGACGCAAGGGAGTCCAACGGTGAGTCTACATGACTACATGCATCCTGTTTCGAAACAACCACATCACACCATGAATCACGCCGAACCATCTATGGAATCTCTGCCAAACAGCTGACACATTGGCACGTATTCACGAACCTCTGCAAAGGCCACCATTCCGTGCGCCGGCTCTGTGGCCAAGCCTGGCTCCACCTTTGCCAGGCTGCCTGGCTCACCGAGCGGTAAAGGCCGCAGCAAAAGTCGCTTGGCCTCAGTCCAGTTGCTTCCGACTTCACAGCTGTGAGGACACAAGGCTGAATCCTTCACCAAGTCCCGTTGAATCCCCAAGTCAAAGACTCCTCGAAGTGCCAAGCTGTACTCCAGCAAGTGCTGGGCCTAGCAATGATTCTCGCGGCGATTTGCCCGTGAACGATGCGCTTTTGGGACTTCAGTGGCTCGAGTGACTTGTCATCTGCTGACCATTGTGATGGCGGTGGAACTATTCCAGCATAAAGAGAAGCCATTGCAAGAAACTCAACCATTGCAAATCCCCATCATGTTGGTCTTTGAGTACTAATATTGACCTGAGGTCGTTGACTGTCAAACAAGTCCCTCTTCTAGACGTTTCCCACTTCTAAAGCGCCAAGAGAATGAGCTCGGGGCCTGCTCGCATGCAGAGATCCAAGTCCTGCAAGAATCTATGAATTCATTGAATTCAACCATCCCAAAACTGTACAGTTCTTGAGGGCGTGTCGGCTATGCAGTGGCAAACGGTGGGGCGAAGCTTCGGATCCCGCAAAGGCCAGCCATGGCCTCATGGCTATGCCATCCGCTTGCGGGAAGTGCACCTGGACAGCTCTGAAAGGAATCTCCTTAGATCTTTGTATCTCGCGCACCCATCCCATCCCAATCCCACGCCCCAAGCCCGCCTCTCCATGTGTGCCCACGACACCCGGCCGTAGCAGCACCCGGCCACCGCGCAGCAGGCCTCGTGCCTCATGGGGGGGCAGGGCTGTGCAAAGCGAATTGCGGATTGATCTTTCTGTACATTTGTAGAGAAAAAAATGGTATGATTAACGCACCAAGAACATTTCTCACCTCCTGAAAAGCTTCAAGCTCTCCCGACTCAACCCACTTCCAGCACAAAACAAGGCTGCGTCTGCCTTCTTTCTTGTTCAGCCTGCCTGCCTCTTGGTGCCCATGTGCTTCGAACTATGGCAGAGCATTCGGCGTACGCAGCACATCTTTTCCCGCTCGTCCACGCATCGTTGTTGAACCCTTGTGTCCACAACAGCAGCCCCATGCACAACACTACGTGCGTGAAGCTGGCCAAGGAATGCAAACTATGTTTCAAATCAAGATGCGGCTGATGAAGAATTATGGGCCTGTTGAGGCAGTGAGGGCTCGTGTGGCAATATATGAGTGACACCTCGCTAGAATGCCAGCGAATTTGTGGCATCGCGCTTGCTGTCTGGCCATCGGCTGTGGAATCAGCTTGGCTCAACCATGACAAGCGCAGCATACTGGTGAAGCGACATTGTCACTTGCGGAGATCATCTGAAAAGCAACGGAAAGCCTGGCAAGCTTTGATATCTTGACAACCATCTCCCCTCGGCAACAATCGGCGTGGCTGTCCGATACTACACCAACAACAAAAGCGAACGGTTCCGGAATCCGCACATTCAGGAAGTCGGAAAAAGCGAAGCCAAAACATACCACTTGCCAAACACTAAATGCCAAACATGCTGCCAAAGGCATGGCGTAAACACTCATGGCGCCAACCCCCTCCCCTCAGCAAACAGCTTCTTGCAGGAGATGGGTACGAGATCTGTGTCACGATAACACAGTGAGCCAGGGGGACGCAACGACCACATAGAATGCCTTCACTTTCCGAGTGCACTGGTGATCGAAGCAGCACGCTGTACAAACGCTGAGCATGAGCCTCCTGTCTAGCAACCAACCAAGCAGGTCAAGCATGTATCCAGTGGTGTGCGTGTGGCGTCTAGCGGCAAGTCTTTGGGAGGCTCAAATGGCTCAAATGATTTTCTTGGACCTGAAGAAGCGCTTGAAGTACAGCATCTGCCAGCCACCCACTCCGATCCTGGCCGATGCAAATTGTGCCATGGCCAGTGCTGCCATCACTGCCATCACAATGTCTCAAGCAATGTGCTCAAGCTGAAGCAAACAATGGAAAGTGACAGTTGAATGCTGCACCTGAAAGGATGGTGCTGGACTCCATCTGCCAAGTCGCATCAATACAACGTTGAAGAGGCAAAAGAAAATTACCTTAGCTCCCCCAAGTACAAACTTTTCATGCTAATAATGGCAGCTTGATTGCGTCCAAGAAGCTCTGCTGGCTGTGGAGTCATTTGTTTGCCTTGCGCTTCGCGCATCATTTAGAGTTCAGATTGCTCCCAGCACAACAATGATCGAACAAAAGTAGGGTCGCATTTGCTGCAAGCTATGAACCTATCTTCCCCACCTCATCCGTTCCTCCCGTGCTCGGATGTAGAGCACATTGCTATGGTAGTTTCGCAAAGATTCCTCTACCTTGCCAAAGCATGCAGCTCCAAAAGAATTGTTTGACCAAGGAGCCTGACCAAACTCTGAAGTGGGCACAAAAAACAATGTATCTCAAAGAAGCCCGAATATTCACTCAAAAACATCCGCCAAGCTAGTCGAGCACGCAGGTACGAGCCGTAGAGTTTGGTGCAGTGTGGGGGTGCCCTCCTCCAACTTGTGAGGGACGACGGCACCGTGCAGTACTTGCTTGAAGCTCGTTTTGTCGCGTAATGTCACCCTGCATCCTGCATCATTAGCATCCCCGGCTCTGAGTGATGCTGTTGGCTTTTGCCCAGTACCCCGCGAACGCGACTTTGAAGCCTTTTTGATATCAAAAACCCTGCACAGGAGGGCGGCCACTTGAGGGTTCTGAGCGCAACGCTGCGCTGATCTGCCATGACATCTTCAGCGGGTTCAGCGAGAACGGCGCAGGGGGACCACACCCCGGAGGCAGGCGGTCTGAGAAAAGGGCAAGGTTGTTTGCTGACGGTTTTGAGGATGCAATACGCGCCGTTGCAAGACTCAATCCACAGCATGCCGGCTGAGCAAATGCAAGTGTGGTGCCAGTGGCTGCAGAGGCAGGGACAGCACACGCAGAGGCTGATGAGACAAGTGTGGAGAGGCATCGCCCAACGGATCTGCCAGCACCAAAGGCATTGGAACATCACTACAGGGCCCTTGTGGGCCACCATCAGCTACATGAAGGATGCTGGATGGAAAACGCCTGAGCTCGACAGGTGGGAAGATTCAGCAGGAGCAGAATAGCAGCTGGATTCTTCCTCCAGCTGGTACAAAAGCTCCAGAAACAAACGGAACGGCAGCAGCGGAAAGCAGCAGCCAAACAACAAGGTGGCAGAGGAGCTGAATGTGGTGTAGATTTTACTGTGGCCAAGAAACACGGGCGTTACTTGATAAACAAGTTTCCAGAAAAGGTCTCCATGCTGGACATGGTGCTGCACAGCTCGTTGCTGACCGCGGAGCTCTTTCGCACGACTGAACCGTGCGTCTTGGCCAGGATGGGTTTCACCACAGGACGTGGGAATGCCGCACACGCGTTGGAGGTTGCAGTGCCAGAAGTCTGGAAGTGCCACCTGGAGCAGGGCTGTTTCCGGTGGCTTGGTGCCACTTGAGTGCACAGCTTGCCCACGCCTTTCCGAGGACTGTTACAAAATAGGGGTGTGGCGAGAGGTGCCGTCCAGGCGCAGCATTTCTTTTGCACCGATGGCTTGGGAGCAGGAAGGCTGGGCAGCAGGTGCAGCTGGCCATTGGGTTTGCGGTGGCACGATGCAGGAGCGGGCCCGGCAAGCAAACCGTCCCCAGGGCCGAGCTCCAGGATGTGATCATGCTTCTGAAGAGTACCGCGGGGCCGGTGGAGTCCGTTATGGACGCACTTGCAGCACACAAAAAGGTACAAGAAATTGGCAAAGGGCCATCAGCTACAGAGCAAGAGCAACCTTGAACTTTGGCCGCAACTGCAGCAGGCCATGCAGGACAAAGACTGCAAGATTCACTGGTGCAGATCGCACCTGACGATGGAGTATGTAGCATGCGACCGCATTTCGTGAAGAAGCCAGCTGGCAGTGGCATGCAAGCGCAGCAGCAGACAAGGCAGCTGAGGAGGCAGCGCGTGAGATCAGAAAAAGGTTCAGGTGTGAGGAGAAGGAGTCCGTCAACCAGTGGATCGATGGAAGGTGCTGGAAGGCTCAACCAAGGCTTGTGAAAGTCTTGGAGAAGTGGATGGCTGAGCCGGCGGAGAGCAGGAAGCTCCAGGGGCCGCAGGCGGCCACCAAGCAGGAGATCCTGAAACACGTTGGCAGCACCAGCCCCCAGCATCAATGGCTGGACAAGGGTCGGGGCAAGGCCTACAAGACAGGGGTGCGGCTTAGTCCTGGCTGCGAACCGGAGGAAGGAGAAGGTGAGCAGAGTGGCACAAGTGCTACGTCTGACACAGGAATCGAGATTTCACCAGAACTAGGGTGCACCTAAGAGAGGGTGACAAGTGACGGTGCGCCAGTGCCTCAAAAGAGGGGGCCCAGTGCAGATGTCCCTCAAGGAGGGTGGAAGAACCCGTGCCAGGGACACGGTAGCAAGAAGTTCAAAATCCCTAACCGAAAGTGGTAGGGAGCAGGCAACAGCTAAGCCGAGTTATCAGGATCAAAAAAGACTCAGCCTACGATCCAAGAAATAGACAAGAAGTAGTCAAGCAGCCCTCAGTCCACATTTCAAGCATTGAAAACATACTCAAAAATACATGGAGCATGCAACAGTGCAGCATTTTGATGCTGGCCACTTGCGGCCACTTGCGGCCACTCGAGTGGCTGCGAGCGGCTGCGAGTGCAAGTGGCGGCAAATGGCCAGTAATACTTACTACACTCATCGCCAAAAGTGGGCGAGCAGCCCTCGCGGGGCCAAACGACTCCTCGTGCGGCCCGAGTTTTCAGGACAATAACTCCGATAGTTTTAGTTTTTGTCGTGAAACAGGGCTCAGCAACACCCCCAGCATCGTCAGCATCACCAGCAGCACCCTCAGCATCGCCCAACAAGCGACCCTTTGCCAAACCAAAACAAACACTCTGGCGGCGCGTTTCGTGGACGGGATCCAGAGCAGGCTGATGATGGTGGATACTTCGTGGCGTAAGTGTGTGGTGAGGTGGTGGATCTCATGGGTGGCTCAATAGGAGGATCAATCCATACACCCAAACGGATCAAAAATAAGACCTGCACAGGGAGGGCGTGCACTTGAGATTGCGTTGGCTTGGGCTTAATCCTGCCTCGCCACCTCTCCCAAAGCGAAAGTTACGGTGGCTTTAAGTTGGCTTAAGGTTGGTTCAGGGTTGGTTTAGTTTAGGAGTCTAGATATATACACTTGTAGTGTTATATAGAGGGTTGGTTTATTTTGGCTTTGGGGTTGGCTTCGGGGGTCTAGGCATGGTAGGGTGGGCTTTGGATTTGTTTAGGTTTCGTTTCAGCCCTAGCTAGAGATGCTGATGAGAGCCACAGAAGCCAAAGCTGCAAGAAGCCACTGCCACTTTCTGGTGGCAAAAAAACCACATACAAAAAGCAAAAGCGTATCCATACCTGCCCACAAGTGCACCATGCTCTAGCTGGTGAGGCTGGAAGTGCGCTTGCTTGAAAGTACGAATTTCTATGGTTCCAAGCTTGCAAACAACTTCAAAGCACCAAGCACCACGGACTTCAACACCAAGGAGCTCTTCGCAGGATGATCTGCGATTCTTCAAGGTGCTCCTGTAAATCATGGTGCTTGCTACTTGTATTTGCCTACACGTTGGATCCAGTTCAAATCTCATCTGACTCATGTCACAGGGCAGCGACTTGGCAATGCATCATTTGCATCTACGTTAGTTGTCACGCATCTTGCTAGCTATTGAGCTGCAGTCGTTCATGCCCGCCTTCTTTGCAATCTGCGAGTAGTCTTTGGCTTCGGGACCCAACAAAACCTTGCGAGCACGGACTGCGCACGGGCAGCACTCAAACACTTCTGCGCTCCCACAAAGGCGTTCATACTCAAACATACAAGCAGCTGTTAGCTGAAATGCTGCTTCTGTGGACTCGTCGTTCTGTATACCTCGGCTATAAGCGCCCGTGAATGCTGGGCCAGCGTGTCAAGCGGAATGATTGTCAGATCCATTGCATAGATCATGCAGACTGCAAGCAGGGAGCAAATCCAGTGTGGTCCAGCATCTTGGGTTGTGAAGGCCTGGATGGGGCACCCTGAAAAGACTTGCTTGGGTACACTGCCAAGGGAAGCCTCAAAGGTTACATTCACTCCGCTGGGACTCATTGCTGTGCTGGCTGCTTAGAGCCAGCAGATTGCAAATGCTGGATGTTCCGGGTCCGGATGACCATAGTCTGGAGTGGAGTGCACCAACCTGTTCTGAGCATCCAGCGGTCTTCACAAATTGCCGGTCGTGCTCAGAGAAGATAGTCGCGTGAGGACTAAGCACCGTCACACCCACCTGCATTGCACATTCCCAGGCCGATGCTGCTACGCCTCTATTGGGCAGACCCTCTGCAAGCACTGGCATCTCTTCTTTTGCAACCAGCCTTACTACCTTCAGAGGCACTGAGTTCGACAACCTCAGTACCAGGTCGGTCATTTGCTCCCAAAAGATTGGAGAACTGAAGCATGGACTTCCACACAAGACACGCATTCCACGGAAGATAACACATGAGCTTGTACCTTTCGCTGGCCTGAGATCTGCTGCACCTTCATGAGCCCCCTTTGGAATGATTGATGTGACAATAGTTCTAGTTTAAGACCCAAGCAGGTGCCAATAGTGTCATTGTATTGCCACCATGCCATGATCAGCATCTAGCATAATTTGCATCCCTCAACAGCTCATATATGCGGGCTGTGTGATGTGCCCGCCAATCTTGAGAGCAAGCAGCTAGGAGTTCCATCTTTGCAGCCTGCTCGCCATAGCACTTTTTCTCCTTGGGGCTACCACTGCTCGCGCACGACCAACACTCAAAGCAAGTAATCTAAGGATCTTTTGCAGGCAATCTGATGGACAACTTGATGCCCACGGCATGGAGTGCCGAGGCCAGCAGGGTCCACACCAGTACCTTGGTGCAGAGGCTGCGAACAACAAACGGGAAAGGACACCTCATACGCTTGGAAGCTTGGATATCCAGCAGGGATTAACGGTCAGGCAGCGGCTCAACAAGAACTTCCGAATCACCCTGCCAGCTGTGCCAAGGTGCTGCCCGCCGCATGAGCGGCTGCCGCTCCTGAAGCACAACTCTGACAGGCAGCAAAACCGAATAAAACCGAAGAAAACCGAAGATGAAGAAAAGGACAAGAGATATATCAAGCTTGCAGCCAAGTCACGAGGGGCCAGCGCGCACCCGAGCAATTTTTTTTGAACCGAAGAGCTACGCTGACAGGGCATCTGGAAAGCTTGAAGTGCAGTCAATACTGAGTCAATGGCCACTGTTATTTCGCGGAAAAGCCAATTTTGCTCACTCTTGAACATCTTAGGCACACGATTCGCGGCAACTGATAACACGCAGCACTCTGGGAGCGGCACAACTTCTGTAAAGCAGGCCGTGTTAGCTTGCACTCCTGCACATTTGACCATAGCTCGAAAACTGTTCATGCAAGTGTTCGGGCCTCAGACACACCTAATCATTTCAAGGCCACGGACCGCTGCCTCTCGTTCAAGCTTCCACAGGTTGCACACATCATTCTGCCTCCATGCTCCAGAATCACGGGGACCACTTGGCAAAGCAACCCTGTCCTACCAAGGGCATCTCCTCAAGCAAACAAAGCGCTCGCTCCCAAACGGCTGCTCGCGCGCAAGCGCTGGCAGCGGCGCCGAAGCAGCCCACGTCCACCCTCCGCAAGCGTGACAGGAGCCGAAGCGCCTCGCACCTCAGAAAATACATGACATGACATTGAATGACATTGAATGACATGCATGAGAACTCAAAAGCGAATGCCGGTTCTGAGCTGCACCAGCGGCTGCCCGCAGCCAGCGCATCCAGCTGAGCACCGGCTATGTGGACGCCGTTGCCGCCTTCGAGAAGCACCAAGCTCTGGCGCCAGTGCCGGCGCCGGGAGAAGGCCACGGCCCGGGCGAAGCTCATCCATGGCCAGCGCTGAAACAAAAATCTGAAATTCCAAAATTCCGAAACTACGAATCAAACAACTCATCTCTTGGCCAAACCGCAAGGATGCGCGAACGCGAAACCTTTGCGGAAACTTATCAACCATGCTAAAGCTCATGAAATCGGGGGTGCCTAAAAATTGAATGTCGTGTGGAAAGAGCTATTCATTCGCATCAAGCTTGAGAGCCTGTGTATGCGTAGCTGCTTTCGCCGCAGAAAAACCGAGACACACACACACACACACATTGGACCACGAGCTCTTGGTACCCACCCTTCTTGCAACACTTCCTGGCTTGGTGCAGTGCCCAAGCACTCCATGACCTCCAGCCCCGTCTTCATCTGCTTGTGGATAGTTCCGCAGGTAGGCGAGCAGGTCTAAGGCCGAAGCACGCTTGAGACCCTTCACCCCGCTTTGGCAAGTATTCAGGAACAAGTTTGGGTCACAGGCCTAAGAGCATGGGAGAGCCTAAGGCTGTGTTGCGACTGGCCCGCCTACACCGCGACTCCAAGAACGAACTTGAGTATATTCCTTTTGTGTGCGTTATGATGTTCTTTCTACTGTTGCTGTTGCGGCTCTTATTGTGCTTGCCGTCTTGATTCTTGGGCTCCAGCTCACGCACACATCGCCTTGGCGCATGGAGCACTCGTGGTTCAGTTCCTGCACGGAGTCCACCCAGCGCCTGCAGGATGGCCCCATCCGCCATGTAGAAAAGGCTGACATGCTGTGGATGGACGAAAACCACAAAAACCTACACCACTTTGGAACCACGAGAAACAATTATGGTTTGTTGGTATTTATGCGAGAATCATCATTCCAGGGTTTGTTAGGTGGTGCACGATTTTCGTCCATCCACAGTAGTGTGCGAAACCAATGAAGACTTGCTATTCTCATGCTTTTTTCGGATCCTTGGTGGCCACATGCGCTAGCTTGGGCCCTGGAGTTTCTTGCTTTTCAGACATCGCCCATCTTTACACTCGGGTTGCCTCTCGGTTCCCCGGGGTTTCTGTGACGATTTGTCTCCGTCCGAATCCCCCGCTTCGCCTGAGCTCGTAGAGGTAGCTGCCACCAGGGGCCATGGGGCCATTGGGACCTAGAGGCTAGCGTCTAGCGTCTACCTCTCGTGTCTTGCCGTCTCTCTGACCTGTCTCGACCGTCTTACCGTTTGTCCCGCAGATCCATGGCCCGGGCCATAAGCATCAGCCAGCACCTGGCCCTTGTCCTGGCCGCCAAGTGCACGTTGCAGTTGCCGATTGGAATAGCCCGACAAAGCTGAGTCAAAGACAAGAAATCGACAAGCCAAAAAAGGCACCCCTGCTGGATGGGGTGTTATAAATGTTGAAACTTGTCTGTGAGATTCCCAAGCCCAAACACCTTGGTACTTTGCCAACAAAGTCCCTCCTGGCAATACAAGCAGCTTGAGGTTGCAAGAGCATCCAGCTTCAGCATCACCAGTCTCAAAGAATCATTTGTCCAAACATGTTGAGTCAACACGAGTGATCATGGCCAACAGCTCACAGCCATTGTTTGGCTCATGTCCTTTTGTCAGGACCATTTTTTACTCGCTCTGAGCAAATGATCTAGTGGAAGAAACCAAGGCATTGCTCCTGAAGTGTTGACACAGTTGTCTGTGTTTCAAGTGCGCCATGTAAAGAAAAGAGAACACGGGATGATAAAATTTGAGGGCCGTTGCCGGCGCACGAAAGAGTTTGATTGGTCGGGAGCAGTCCTCAACCTCTGCATATCGGAAATCACACACCTGTGCATCAAAGTTGTTTTGACTCCGGGCACGGCTGCCACGCGCCATGCAGCAAAGGGGCACGGCGTTCAAAGCGCTTGCGTGCTTCTTTCGCAGTCTCCACGGCTTCCTTGCCAGGCAATCCCGTGACAGCACCCATGTGCAAATACTTGGAGATGCTCGCCCTTGGCGGACAAGGCCAAAGCACAAATGGCAGGCCTTCAGGCTCTCGTCAATGGACTTGGCAAACTGCTTGAGCTGACCACGCTCTGCTAGGCTCTTGCACTCCTCGCACATCCACTGCCAAACCTCTACGTTCCAACGCAAGAACAAGAACAACGCTGCTGAAAACATGTGCCGCAGAAAGCTACTGGCAAAAGGCCAACCCAATGCCAAGACAATTCCAAACCCTGAATTGCTGTATATCTGACATGCTTCATCACGTTTGCTGCCAACCGCCTCTACAACTCTGCACACAATCTCGCAGTATTGCCGCCCCCTCGCCCTGCAGCTCCCTGCCACCCTCGAGGCAGGCCGGCGCTTGGCTCTCCAGGGGCTGCACAGGCTGCTCTTTGCACGCTGGATCCATGGTCAAATGATCAACACATTTGAAGAGTTGCAATGCGGCAATCATTGCCGTCAATCCGCAGCCTTGAATTCAGGCGCGGGGCAAACTCCCAAGGATGTCTGCAGCCGGGGTCCTGCGAGTGTCATGGCACCCAACCTATCCAAACAACATGTTATGACCACAAGGCTAGCTGCAACAATGAGTGCGTCGGCACTTCCGGCAGCACATGCCAAAGGGATACAAATGCAATTGTGCCGATATGTTCAGACTGCCAGTACGCACTGTCTTCCTGGAAGCGCCAAAACGAAAATGCGCACTTGTCGCTCTCCTTGTAAATGGCTCCATAGCTCTGATCCCGGCATGGCGAGGTCAGAGACTAGAAATCTGCTATGAGACTGCAAGATGTTGCATGATTCTACAAAGAGAAGTTGATCATGCTGAAATGACCTTCTGCAATTATGCCGAACAAAAGTTGAAGGCAGTGCGTAGTGCCATGCTAGCCGCATTTGCCATGATGGCAAATCTGGGATGCCCGAAGTATCACCAGGTTGCATGTCTGCCCATTGACAAGCAAACGAAACTGCTGCACTCGCCCTCTGTCACCACCTGCTTGCGAGTGTCGCATCATATCCCATCAAGCGCTTGATGTTGAACGGAACACAAGCTTGCGCAGAAAGTCTAGCAAGTCTAATTGGTACCGACTACCACAGCAACCAGGAGCCCCCTTTTTCTCATGCTTGACAGGTCCTACACGTGGGGAACTCCAACTCGCAGGGTCCAGTCATTCCTGAGGTGAGACAAGCATGCCTTTCACGGGCACGTCTGCTACAATAGAAAAACGATGGCCCTGTCAGAAATCAAAGAGGTCTGCACGAAACCCAACCCACCAGGATGACATGCCAGTCAAGAAAGCCTGTCGGTTACTTTGAGAGCCCCGAACTAGGTGGGCTGCGAGGACGCAAGCCCACGTACACCATGCAAAACCGCCAGTCACATATGCGAAGCCATGGAGGCATTGGCCAAGGGCACCTGAATCAACTCAATGCAAAGTCCGGTTGCCTTTACCGAGGCACTTAAGCGCCTCTGCGCCAACACCCGAGATGACCGAACTTCGCATACTGGAAGGGTTCACCTCCGCGTTTCGTTTCACGAAAATCTGTGTCGAACTTGCCAAATGTCAGCTGTGTGCGCCTCACCACGAATGTCTGCGATGAGCAGGCGCTCGCTCAGCGCACCGAACCTGAACTGAAAAGGCCTTTGGGCACCCGAATGGGCCCGGTGTTGGATCTCAAAAGATAAGCCCATCAAAAGACTGCGATGGTCGGCGAGGCACGCGGCTCGCGCCTATTCTCTGTCACTGCCATGCGTCCCCGCAGCAGGGCCAAGGCACAAACACCTGAGAAGTGGGTGCTTCCAACTCAGACAACTGCACGTAACGTTCTGAAAGTCATGGACAAACAAAAAAAATGGAACTGACGCACAAAGATCAGGCACAATCCAAACTTGCAGTACTGTAAAGTACCCTGCAGCCTGCGCCCACAAACATTGCAATCCAAACTTGGCACACAATCTTCACCCTCACCTGAGCCCAAAGTGACGCCAGCAGCCCCAGCATGCACTGCACCTGACGCAAAGATCAGGAAACAGTTTCAGTGTGTTAAAAGTGCGACAGTGGATTCGCAGCACACTAGAAAAGGTACCTGTCAGCCCCTGAGGTTTGAGACATGTGAAATTGCACTATGCTGCATGCATGCATGTTGAGAAAACCTACCTTGCATTGCTGCAAACCTTGTCCACGAATGCTCTCGACGAGCGGCCTAGCTGCACGAATGCGGACACCTCGAAGATGATGGCCAACAAAGAAAGAAGTACCTTGTACAGAATGCTTCCGCAAACCATGACTAGTACTGCATCAAGCTGTTACCCTCTCCCTTTGGCACAGGCAATTCCCCAAGTTGCGGAGTACTGTGAAATTGAGAAATTCCCCATCCAAACCCTGCGGGGGGAAAAACCATGGGATCAATCTTAGAGCAAGGGGAACCTGGTTCACTCTTGGGAACCCGGCAACGAAAAGGATGACCTGCTCCGCCATGCGCAGAATTACCTCCTGGGTTGACAAGAGCAGTTTTGTTTGCTGCTCAGTCAACTCAGAAACTGATGCCCACGGCACTTTTGACATCATAATTTCGAATCAGTGCAGCGTTGCCATTGTTTAGTGGCAAAGTGGGCCAATCTCACGTAGCACAATTGAATCTCTTCAATGTTCGTGGCACTCCACTTCTAGATCTGATTCCGCCCATGTGGCCGGCTACTTGTGAAGCGAGCCTGTTTAGCACTCACCGCAAAAACTGCGAGGACTGTGCCGTATGGTGCCGTATCCCAGCCTCCCGGCAAAGAACAGCGCGCAATCGTTGCAAGCGCAAAGAGCTGCAGAGCTCGAGTGCCAGCACCTCAGAGTTGCGCGGAATACGATGGCGCTCAGATGCGCTCAGCCTTTAGGGAGTAATAGCTTTTTCGCGGCAGCTTGCTTTACATCAACCCTTTCGCAGCGCTTTCGCGGCGGCTCCTTGAAATTAGCAGGGCAACCTTTCAACACAAGAACAATGCTAGTACACGTGATAGCTCCAGATTGAAAATGGCAAGTCTTCGGGAAAAAACAACGTAGCACACCAAGTACATTTTGGCAGCTCCCTTCAACTTTTCAGTAAAGCAATAGTGTGCAAAACTTGGACCCACGCCTTTCGCGGAGCTTTCGCAGAGCTTTCGCGGAGTTTGCGCGCCAATCCCCCCGGCATTTTCGAGTTGGGCAAACAGCCTGTGCACACTGATGAGCAAATGTACACCTATGTAGATACTCTCACACGGTCAACGCCTGCTCTTTCCGCGCGCTACCTGCCCCAAGCGCCGTTTGAACAAACCGCCCTTTCGCGGAGCTTGAGCAACACATAGAATAGACATGTCATTGCCCTGCATGTGCAATCCAAAACAAACAACTGCAAACACTGCTCCTTGCTTGCCACCAGCACATTATGCTTAGGCAGTTGGTCCCATATCTCTGCAGCTAAACGCCAAACTGGACGCACGCCCTGGCCGAGCGTGCGGCTGCGGCCAGCCACGGGAGGAAAAGCACCTGGAGCCATCTTGAGCGAGTGCAAGTTTCAGTTCCGGAAAGAAGAAATTCGTGGGATAGCAATGCCAAGGATTCATTCAGTGTCGCACCCAGGCAGACGTGCTGAACGGTCCGTCAGGCCTCAGTAAAAGAGTGGAAGGAAGGCTGAGCTGCTGTTCTTGCTTCAAATTTTGTACATCCACAATTTGACGACTTCACAGAGCAAAGCTTCAGATGCACGATTCCATCGGGGAGCAGTGCGGCTCTCCGAGGCTCTAGAAGCATCTAACTCCAGATCCGCTCCGGCACTTCATTTGCTAGCAACAGGCCAAGGGCACTTGCATGCCCACAGAGAAGTGTTGACATGCGTATCTTGGGGGGCTTGCCAACTCAAGGAGCTGCAAAGAACTATTTGTGCCCACTAAGTGCCTGGCAACAGCAACCCTAGAACGCTGGAACCAAGTGCCTTAGATGTCGTACACGCGCTACAAAGGCTGGCGAGGAACTTGCCAAGACAACATCTGTCGGCCAAATATCATCACGCATTGTTGGCCGCTGGGCTTGCTGCCCCCGCTCCCAGGCAGCTAAAAAGCTCGCCGCTCTGGCACACACGAGGCTCAACTCAGATCCCACTTGTCAACGTCCCATTCAGTTTCTCCAGCATCTGAGACACTTTGGATGCTTGCCACGAGGCAATGATTGAGACTGGCCATAAAAGTCACGGCTGTGCTGATCTTGCTTCAGGTTCCTACCAATCCAAGGGCACCTTAATTTTGTCCGCAGGTGAAACAGCAACGTCCGCAACGGTACAGTGCTCACAAGTTTGCAACTGGGCACGTCAAAAAGTAAGTTTGCACGGCAGTGTGATTTGAGCACTCAGTCGAAACGTTCAAAGCGTCAGCCCTCGAGTGAGCACGATGAATTCTTGGATCGGTTTGGAGAAAAATATATACATCGGTCGACGCTCGAGATCGGTGGTCATAGAGAATAGAAGGCATTGAGGAAATTTATTCAGCAATCTGAGCGTCTGGTGCCTTGCACAGCTATGGACATTGGCATGGCACTCACCGCTTGGCGATTCTGCCTGTAGACCGGGACCGGGATCGCACCTTGGTGACTGCTTGCAGCGCATGAGCCCATACTGCTTACATCGGGTACATTGCCCACATTTGCCCACCACTGCCACCGGCGGCCAGCGCACATCTTCCGCGCCTTCCGGTTGCGTGAGGGAACTGGAGAGGATGTGGCCTAGCCAAATGGACCCAAACAAGGATTCCAAGCAATCGATCGGAGACCGACTTGCCACTGGCGCTGTCAGCTCTTGCCTTGCTGTTTTTGTAACGGAGCAACTCATCCACCACGGAGCTCCTTGCCAAGGAGCTCCGAATCCAGCATGAGCACAGCGAATCGTGACGCTAAGGCAGAAGTTCTGAGGAAGCAAGTGGGCCACAGTCAATCTGGTTAAACAACTTGCAATAAAGTGCGCCCCAGGCTCCCTGCAATTCATGGCACTGCTTACAAGTGGGTGTGGTATCATTGTGGTACATGTGTTGTCCCTCAATGTCAGTAGGCACTCGGAAACCTCGAAGACATCTCATGTATTCAAACACCAGTCCGGGTCGAGCTCGAATCGTCTGGGCATGAGTCCAGCCTTGCTAGCCTGCACAGCCAAGCGTTCATGCCAATGCAGCCCAACTTCTGACTGTTCCGGCCCTGACACATGCCATGATCCTGCTGATTCTGCTTGACCGTTGTTTGGTCCTCCAAGTGCGGCATATGATGACCTGTCCGCTGGCACCTTTCCGCGCTTGCCAAGCTACACCAAGAGGCTGAACACATCCACTGGGCTTTCAAATTTGCCCAGGCAGGTGACACGCGCCCTCACGCCAAATAGCGTTGGCCAGCTCACACCGCTGAGTGGCAAATCTGGTTACAGGCGGCTTGCAACGTTTGTCAGGAAGCTAATGGAGCCTGCAGCTCCCTCATCTGGCTTCTCCACCAGCATCATAACGACCTCGTCCGAGTTGGACAGAATAGCCTGCAACGACAACCCGTCAGCAAAGCAACCATCCAAAATGCTTTAGACACAAAATGATCCAAAAGATTGAGTTCCTAATCAACGATGAACTCTGACCAACTGTTGGCACGAGGTCGGCATGGGAGGTCCCCAGGTGCTGGGGGGGGGCAGGTGTGCCTGCGTGATTTGATCCACTGTGTTCACCTCCTTGGCTGTGGTCACGTCCTTTCGGCCACCCACCTCACAGCTCACTGCATGGATGATGTTGCCCTCCTGCACATCCAGCGTGCCCACGGCAGCAGCACCGCCACCTCGACTGCGGTTTGTCATATTTGAACCGTTGCCAGTTGGATTCCCTTGGAATTCAAGTTCTCTTGGGCTAGCCAGGGAGCTAATGATCTCTGTGATCTCGAAGGCGCCATCGCTCTCTCTCTGCGTGATGCGGATGCCCAGCGGCATGTCCCCGCCCACCTCCTCAACCTTTGACGCCACCTTCAGCATCGGCTTCCAGTCAACCCACTTGCCCATGAAACGTGCCTGTAGGCTCGATGCAAACAAAAGCACGAAGGCGTGGAACGCATGTTGGTGGGTATGTGACATGTGAGTATGTGCTACTTTTACGGTTGCTGTCACGTCTGCGCCTTTGCTTGGGTGGGGGTCAGTGAGTCGGTGAGTCGGTGGCGGGTGGGTCGGTGAGTGCGTGAGACGGCTGTACCAGCATCTAGGACTGGGAAACCTCACAATTTGACATAAACAAAACAAAAAACGCATGGGTGTATGGATGCGTTCACATGCAGATCGCAACAGATTACAGGATTGGCCCCGACGTAGAGGGGGTGGGTGGAAAGATTCGCCAATTCGCCCCTTCGCCTTCGTCTGCTGGGCGCCGGGGGGCCCGACGCCTGCGGGAGCCGCTCGTCGTAGGGAGTCGGAGCCACTCGGGCGGACTGGGCGGCCCATGCGACCCGGGCCCACGAAAAGCCATGGCAGCGCTAGCCATGGCAGCAGCCACAACGCGCGGGGCATGGCCCCAACCGCCCTGGCCGTCCTGGCCATGCTGAGTAAGCGGCTGCGGCTAGGCTTGATGTCAGGCCATGCGCTCTGAAGAAAAACAGTCGGGCGGCAAAAGTGCAGCCTTGCAGAAGGCTCTGGCCTTGCTGCTGTGAGCCGGAGCTGGTACCGATCCTGCAAACCAGCACGGCAACAACGGAAAGCGACAGCATACAGCTCGCATTTGGCATGTACATCGCATAATTCTTGGAGCATTTGGGGCAAAGACTACGCATGCAAAATGTGTCCTGTATTGCTCTGTGCCTTCTGTGTTTTGCATTTATGATACTTTGCATGCATTGGTTGTGCATTTTTGGGCATGCTTATATGCATGCACCAGGCTGTGTGCCGCTTGGCATGCGGCATACACTTGCGTTCGTGTGGTTGCTAGCATATTGAATTTATGTTGTTTTGCATGCTACTGTGTCTGCTCGCAGTTTGCCTGTATAGCGCATGAATTTTGGAGCATCTAGGGCCAACATGACGCATGCAAAAATGCGTGTGCTGTCTTGTTCTGTGCCTTTTGTGTGCATTTTGGCATGCCGTTCGGTTTGGATTCTTTGTGCGCGCATTGGGTAGGACATGTTGCCTTTCTTTTTGGGATGTTGTATGCATGTGCATTTTGCATGCATTGGTTATGCAGTTTTGGGCATACTTCATGCATGCACAAGGCTGTGTGCAGTTGGAATGCAGCATACACTTTCGTTTCTGTGTTTGCTAGCATTTTGCACTTTTGTTGTTTTGCATGCATTGGTTATGCATTTTTGCCCATACTTCATGCATGCACAAGGCATGCAGAACCGCTACTGCGTTTGCTTGCATTTTCCACGTATACTGCATGAATTTTGGAGCATTTAGGGCCAAGATTACGCATGCAAAAGGGGGGCTGTCTTGTTCTGTGCCGTTTGTGTGCATTTTGGCATGCCGTTCTGTTTGGATTTTTGGAACGTGCATTGGGCAGGACATGTTGCCTTTTTTGGGGGGGACGTTGTCTGCATATGTATCTTGCATGCATTGGTTATTCATTCTTGGGCATACTTCATGCATGCACCAGGCATTCAAACTGTGTCGTTGCGCTCGCTTGCATGTTGCATGCTTGTTGCAATAATTGTGTAGCATTTTGGGCAAACACGTACTTCGTGCATGCACAAGGCATGCAAACTGAGTTGTTGTGCTTGCGTGTATTGTGCATGCATGTAGCATGATTCTTGCAGCATTTCGAGCAAACATTACACATGCAAAACGCATGCAACATGTGCGCTGTATTGTTCTGGGCCTTTTGTATATGTTTTGTGTGCAATGCATACTCTGTGCTTTTTTGTTCTGTGCCCAGTGTGCATTTTGACATGCAGTTCTGTTCGGATGTCCTTTCCTGCATTGGTTCTGGTTTGTTGACTTGTTTTCCCCAGATAGCTGAAAGCTGTAGGGGTTCTAACTTCTAATAAAGAAGGGAAGTGATTTGCGCGATTGCCGGCTGGGTGCTAGGGGGCATGCAGTCTGGGGTGCTGGTGTAGGTGCTGTTTGAGCTGGTGGTGATGGTGAGGGCGCATCTTATTTGGATTGAGGCAGGGCGCTAGGGCATGCAGTTTGGTGCAGGTGCTGTTTTGGGGTGTGCAGGTGATAGTGCGGGCGCACTTTTGCAAGACAGGGTGCTAGGGGGCATGCAGTCTGGGGTGCTGGCGAAGGTGGGGTTTTGGGATGGTGTTCGGGGTGCTGTTTGAGGTGCTGGTGATGGTGCGGGTGCATATTCGCGAAATTGACGGCCGGGTGCTCTGGGAGTGCTGTTTGGGGTGATGGTGCGGATGGTTTTGGGGGGGCTAGTGACGGGCGTGGCGCTTTTGCGAGATTGACGGCTGGTGCAGGTGCTGTTTTGGGGGGGCCTGGTGACGGCCAGGTATGTTTTTGCCAGATTGACGGAAGGCTCGGTGTGCAGGTGCTACAGTGCAATCGTTGGCACGTGGTTCGCTATCTGGAGTCTATGCTGGTGTATTGTTGTTGTATTTTGAGGAGCAAGAGTGACTGAATCATTGCCTCAAAGCAAAAATGCATAAGCAATGCATGCAAAACAGCATAAATGCACAATGCTAGCAAACACAAGAACGCAAGTGAATGCCCTCCAGCAAGCACAACACAGCATCACCAGCACGCAAGTGTATGTGCCCAAGCAAGCACTTGGACTTTTTGTGCATGCATTGGGTAGGACTTGTTGCCTTTCTTTGTGGGATGTTCTATGCATGTGTATGTTGCATGCATTGGTTATGCAGTTTTGGGCATGCTTCATGCATGCAGAAGGCTGGGTGCAGTTAGCATGCAGCATACACTTGCGCTCATTTTGCATTTATGCCGTTTTGCATGCATTGGTTATGCATTTTTGCCCATACTTCATGCATGCACAAGGCATGCAGAACCGCTACTGGGTGTGCTTGCATTTTGCACGTATACTGCATGAATTTTGGAGCATTTAGGGCCAACATTACGCATGCAAAATGCGGGCTGTCTTGTTCTGTGCCGTTTGTGTGCATTTTGGCATGCCG